CCGTCTCATGGTCGTGGCCAGGTCTGACTGATATTTAGTCAATGAGTCCCTTTGAAATACTCTCAGATGGGTTTTAGCCCCGTTATGGGACTTCTGGAACTCACTGTAATTCAGCAACTAAAAAGTTAATGCCCAGCAGGGTGAGGGGCCCTGGACGCTGCTCTCAGGGCTGTCTGGGGTGCTCACCACTGTCTAGCTGTAGGAGCACCCAGCCTCTCTTAATATTTTTTCCTAAGTTCTCTTGTCTTTCTTCCTTCCCTCCTTCCTGTCTCCCCTTCCTTCTTCCTTTCCCAAACTCTTCCAGAAAGGCATTCAAATGACTCTTGAAACTCCAAACAGTAAGAGGAGAGCTCATGAAACCCTTGAGGGAAGTGAGGAAACGTGGGTGATAAGAAAGAAGGGTGATAACACTAATGCAAGAGGGAGGTCTCCGGCCGGCCAAGCCCACTGCAAGCTTCCCTTTCCCATCCAGCTCAGGCTTCTGCAGAGCTTGGTCCCTCCTCGACAGCCACTGAGTGCTTGGGGCTGAGTTTTGGGGCTCCCAGATATAGGCTGTTTCCTACATCCTTGACTTGGAGACTCCCTTTCTCCAGGTCTGGAACCCCAAGCACTCCCCCAGCAGGGCCTGGCAATCCCCCTCTGCTATCAGAAGCTGGCATTTCTGCAGCCTTTGCCTGCTGCATGCCTTCTCGCCAGCCCTAAGTGTGGATGCACTGGTCTGCGTGTGCCTGTTTGTGGAATGCAGCTCCCCAAAGGCACTGGGCCCAGCCCAGGTCCCCAGACCGCACCCTCTACCCTTCCCTTTGTCTTTTCCAGGTCTCAAGCGTCCTCATCAGAGCTGTGGGTCCTCACCCCGCCGTAAGCAGTGCAAGCAACAGCAGCTAGGTGGGTACCCAGCTGGGGCGGGACCTGGGCATACAGGGCAGGCTGTCTTAGTGCTAGGACAGACCCTGGACACTGTCCTTGGCCAACAAGCCTCCAGGGCTCAGGGACTCTTATCCTCCAAGCCTCCAGGAGAGAAGAATTGGAGATCTTGGGAGAGCAGAGGAGAGGGCTGGGACTAGAGGGACTTCTGGGGGCTCCTCCAAAGGTGGCTCAACCGAAGGCACTGGAAGGACCCCAACAGACTTAGACTCCCCCAGGAATATCCCATTTCCTCAGGGTCGAGGGAGCCCCAGGAAGGTGACCAGTATGACTTCAGACCTGGCCCTTATTAGCCAGTTTGGGGTGAGCAGGGATAGGGAGTGATGAGGATGCCCAGAAGAACCCCCATAAGACAGAGACCCTAGGGCCCATGGGGGAACATGGGATTGCTGAGGACTGGCCAGGCAAGAGGGAGGAAAGGGGAGAAAACATCTCTTATTCTTGGCCAGGTGTCTAGAAAAGTCCTTGTTCTTGAGATGTCTCACTCACTGGAAACTCGCCCCTCCCCACCTTACCACTGCCAACATCTACACAAAGCAGCACACTGCCTCAGGTCCTCCTGGTCTCTGCCAGAAACAGCCCACCCTTCCCCTAGGTCACCTGAGACCTCCCAGTGACCCAGGGATTAAAAGGTCAACACCTGGCCCAGCAGGGACCCAGCATCCACAGTACTGACAGATCAGTGCTGAGGCCCACAGGCTGCTGGCATGCACCCCGGGCATTGCCATACTGAGATATTGGGCAGGGGCCAGGGCAGATCCTAGGAACAGGTTGTAATAGTGAGATGCTTTGGAAGAAGTGTCCCCGTTCCCTTCCCCCATCACACTGAAAACTTTATAGCACTCCTATTGTTGCAGAAAAATAGAGCCAAGACCTACACTTCCCCATTCCTGCCTTTCTGTTTAAATGGTGTTTCACACTGCTAAGATGCTGGGCTTCACAGGCTGGGACCACACAACTGGCCCGTGTTCTATTCCTGGACCAACTGAAAGGCCAGGTGTGGGGATGTGACCCTGTGATCCCACTGAGGCAGGAAAGAGTCTAGACTAGCCTAGGCAACATGGCAAGACCCAGTCTGCAGAGCCAGCGTGGTGGCACATGCCCTTAGTCCCAGTTGGGAGTCTGAGGCAAGATGATGGGAACAGCAAGGCCCTGCTTTTTTAAAAAAAAAAAAAAAAAAAAAAGAGTGGTGGGAATATATATGAAATTTTTAAATAAATAAAAATAATTCCTGGAGCCAGAGCCTGTGCTTCTGTAGAACCAGTTCCTCCTAGAAGTTTGGGTGGCCCAAGAATCCCATAATGCAGATGTGCTACCCCACCCCCACACGTACACACCTGTGGTTAGAGGCTCCCAGCAGCCCAGTCCTGGAGGAAGCAGACCTGGGCAGAGGGCTGGGGGGCCTGCCCTCATGCTGTCTCCCTGCTCCCCACAGAGCTGGCCAGGAGGTACCTGCAGCTCCTGAGGGTCTCTGCCCAGCAGCACTATGGTGGTGGACTTCCTAGATTGGGACAGCCCCTGACCTCCCATCAGGCCTACGTCCCCCCGATCCTGCAGTGGAGCCGGGCCACGGTGCCCTTTGACACCAAGAAGGGGGCTGCTGTTATGGGAGGCCTCAAGGCAGAAGATGGCACTGACATGAGCATCTGGGAACTCTTCAGCTCCAGGGCCGACAAGGGCCCAAAGGTGACCGTGATCTTGGGGAAGGCTGGTGTGGGCAAGACCACACTGGCCCACTGGCTCTGCCGGAAGTGGGCTGACGGCCAGCTGGAGCGTTTCCAGGCCCTGTTCCTTTTTGAATTCCGTCGGCTCAACCTGCTCACCAGTTCCATGACGCTGTCCCAGCTGCTTTTTGATGTGTACCTGAGCCCCGAGTCAGGCCCCGACGCTGTCTTCCAGTACCTGAAGGAGAACGCAGATCGCGTCCTGCTTATCTTCGATGGGCTGGATGAAGCCATCTACCCCTGCTCCAGTGGAAAGATGGCAGGTCCCAACGCTCCAGGTCCAGCTCTTGCCCTCTTCTCTGGACTCTGCCATGGCACCCTTCTACCCGGCTGCTGGGTGATGGCCACCTCCCGTCCCGGGAAGCTGCCTGCCTGCCTGCCCACGGAGGCAGCCATGGTCCACATGTGGGGCTTTGACGGGCCGCGGGTGGAGAAGTACGTGGGCGTCTTCTTCCACAACCTGCCATCACAGGAGGCAGCCCTGGCAGAGTTGCAGGCCAGTGGACACCTCCGCAGCCTGTGTGCAGTGCCTGCTCTGTGCCAAGTCACCTGCTTCTGCCTCCGCCATCTCCTCCTGGGCACCTCCCCAGGCCAGTGTGCAGCCCTCCTGCCCACCGTGACTCAGCTCTACATGCAGATGGTGCTCGCCCTTACTCCCCCAGGGCATCCGTCTGCTGTGTCTCTGCTGGCCCTGGGTGAGGTGGCCCTGAAGGGCCTGGAGATCGGGAAGGTTATCTTCTATGCTGAAGATATCCCTCCATCCGTGATGGCCTTCGGTGCCACCCTCAACCTGCTGACCTCCTTCTGTGTCCGCACAGGCCCTGGGCACCAGGAGACAGGCTACGCTTTTGCCCACCTCAGCCTGCAGGAGTTTTTTGCTGCCCTGCACCTGATGACCAGTCCCCAGGTGAACAAAGACATGCTTGCCCACCATGTCACCCTCAATTCCCGCTGGGTGCTACGGACCAAAGCTAGACTGGGCCTCTCGGACCACCTCCCCACCTTCTTGGCAGGCCTGGCATCCTGTGCCTGCCGTCCCTTCCTCAGACAACTGGCACAGCAGGAGGAGAGCTGGGTGGGCACCAAACAGGCTACCGTCATGCAGGTGCTGAGGAAGATGGCTACCCACAGGCTCACGGCACCGAAGGTGGTGGAGCTGTGTCACTGTGTGTATGAGACACAGGATCCAGGCTTGGCTGACCTGGCTGCCCAGAGCCTCCGCTACCACCTGCCCTTCCACAATTTCCCACTGACCTACACTGACCTGGCTGCCTTGACCAACATCCTGAAGCACAGGGAGGCCCCCATCCACCTGGATTTTGAGGGCTGCCTCCTGGAGCCCCACTGTCCTGAGGCTCTGATAGGCTGTGAGCAGATAGACCATCTCAGGTAAGTAATGATGGGAGAATTCAGAGTAGGGCCCAACCAACTTGGCAGAACCCTGCCCAGTGGGGGACTGGGTAAGAATGTGAGTATCATAGGGCCAGCAGGTGGTGTGGTGCTTGAGGCACTGGACTCCTACATACTTCACCATGGTTCGAGTCCTGGACTCAGTGACTTGAAATTCAGATTGGGTACATGTGCATATGTGCATGCCTAAAATCCCAAGAGGATAATAGAGGAGAAGGGATTGCTGCGTGGTCATCCCCTCTGGGGAGTGATTTTTCACTTCACTTCCTATCTCTCTGTTTCTGTCTCTCCAACAAGCACACATGCCCAATAACAAAAATCTCTCTTAAAAAAAAAGAAAAAAAAAAGAATTTTAGTATCAGAACAGAACGACCCTCACTGCCCCTCGTGGAATAAGAGGAGAAGATCCATACCTTAATAAGACCTGGGGTCCAGTTAGACCCTCTCCCTGTCTGTGGTTTCTGGACTCTCAGTTTCTGTTAGTCATGGACTGGAGCTTCTAATTCGGCTGGGCTGCTAGAGGCTGTTTGCCTTCAGGCAGGTTTGTAACCTCTCTCAGCCTCAGTCTTCAGCCCTGAAATGAATCTGCAGTATAGCTCACTTACAGGGTCATTGTGAGAAGGAGATGGGATATTGCATGAAAAGCAGTTCTTGCACAGAGCAAAGTCTCAATGTGTGTATTAGTTGGAGAAAAGATTATACTGGGCCAGTTGGTGGTGTGGTGGTTAAGGTGGCTGGATCCCACATAGCCAAGTGTGCAGTTCGAGTCCCAGACCCGGCAACTCAGCAGCTTGAAAAACATTTTGGGCACATGTGTGTGCATGCCCAAGATACCAAAAGGAGAGAAAAATGGAGGAAAAAGAATTGTGGCATGACCAGTGACTATGCCCCATGGAGAGTGTGCTGTGTGTGTGTGTGTGTGTGTGGTGAGTGCACATGCCCTCTGGCTAATTAAAAAGGAAGAAAGGAAAGGCTAGACTACAATAACAAACAAACCTCCCCAAATAAAGCAAATTAAATAATGTAGTCTAGTATTTCTCTGATGGAAGAGTCAGAGTCAGGTGGCCTAGGTCACTGGGTGGCTCAGCTCCATGCAGTCATGCAGGGACCCAGGACCCTCCCTCTGTGTCACTCCGTCATCCTTATGGGAATCCAGTCTGCATGGTCAAAGCTGAGTTAAAAGTATAGCTGTGTTCTGGTTTGAGGAAAGGGAAAGAGCCACTCCCTCCCCCCAGTGTGCTAAAGCTCAGTCCTGGAACTAGGACACATCTGTTTCTTGCTCATCCCATTGGTGAGAACATAATCACATGTCATGCTGAGCTGCAAGGGAGGCTGGGAAATGTCATCTCTGTCTAAGAATCCATGTTCTCAGCTTTAACTCTCTTGCTGCTGAAAAGTGGAGAATGGACGTTAGTGGACAGTTGGCAGTCTCTGTCATAGTGTGTATTTGTTGCGACTGCAGCTAGCCCTTTCAAGCCCTGTCTGTCAGAGGAAGAGGTGTGATGAGCTCTGAGCCCTGGCTGCACTGGTCCTCTGCTACCTTTCTTCTTTCCATGGCAGCTTTAAGAGCCGGAAGTATGGGGATGCCTTTGCTGAAGCCCTCTCCAGGAGCTTGCCAACAATGGGGAGCCTGCAGAAGCTGGGGTGAGTCAGGGCTCAGAACAATGAGCTTCAGTCAAGGATGCCAGAGACTCTCCTACTTCCTCCCAGTCCTGTACAGGATGGACTCCTGGTCTCTCCTCTTTCCCATGCCCATGCTCCCCACCATCTTTGCTTACCCCATAGGTTATCAGGAAGTAAGATCACTGCGCGAGGCATCAGCCACCTGGTGCAGGCTTTGCCCCTCTGTCCTCAGCTGGAAGAGGTCAGGTATGCAATCTCCGATCTCTGGAGGGCTCGATGGCTGGGGAGAAAAGCCACTACCAGGTCCCAGGATATCTCAAAATGTCTGACTAGTAGCTTTTAATGAGACTCAGAGAAGAGAGGTACCAATCCAAGAATTGGGGTGGGGTGGGGTACCGAATCCAAATGCAAGGCTCCCAACGACTCCAGAGCAGGGCTCTTCTTGTCTAGTGTTTTGGGCCCTCTTTGAGGAGCATGAGTTTCAGGACTCGCTCCCCTCTTTCTGTGATCCTGGAGTAAGCGGTGGTGGTGTGTAGGCAGTAGTCAGGCACTGCGGATGCACATCAATGCATGAAATGCATGCACCTATGCATTTGTGCACACGCATGAGCACACTCGCATGGAAATACACACTTATGTACTCAGATATATGTCCCCACGCTTGCCCATTCATAGGTGTGCACGTGGGCAGCATGCACTTGCACACTTAGATGCTCATACACATCCAGATGGGAGCACACACTAACTAGTAAAAATACACACAAATA